GTGGGATCCGAACCCTCGGCGGGAGCGCCGCCACGCTTCCCAAGCGGTGCACTATAGCAGTGCGCCACTGGGCCGGCCCAAAAACATGCTTATTTTGCCCACGCATGGAAAGTGTATGAGAGAGCTGTCGAATTCTTTGGAGACAAACATATGGATGAACACCTTTATGTCGCCTTTGCCAAATTTGAAGAAAATGAGAAAGAAGTAAGTATACTGAAAGAACTCGATTACGTTGCAAAACAACTTACAAAAGATTATATCTTGTGCACCATGAATTCATTTCCATTTCTTCTTACTCAAAAACACAGTTTCTCACAGAAAACAGCATACATATGTGGCTGAGCTGCAGATTGGGAGTTGAGTGATTATAAATTGTATTGTTAACTGTTGTAATTTTGTTGTGCTTTTTTTGAAAATTAAGCCTTTAAATCTGAGTGAGTCATTTGGCATCCTGATGAAGGGGTTTTACGGGTAGTAAACCTGGGAAATAAAAAGCCAGACACCCTCACTGGACAGAATTTAGAATGAAAACAGGGATTGCCCCACAAATAAATCAGTTGTTTTCTTCCGTAGTAGACATGAAAGATGATCCTTTAAAGTAGCTCAAATAATACACAATTGAGAGGTAGGCTGAGGTCCTTCCAACTACAAGGCCTTGCACAGATCATGCTAGGAAGTTCAGATTCTGCTCAAAGGCCAGGGGGAAGCACTGAAGGGTTTGAAGTGGGAGAATGATTGGATATGGTTTGTATTTATATTTTAAAGAGACTCCTCTGGCTAATTCATGAAGAATGTACTAGGGGGTTAGCAGAAGTGGAACCAAGGGGACACAGGTAGGGAGATGTTTGAAATTTTCAGTCCAGGTAAGAAATGGAGAGGGGTTAGCAGGGGGGATGAGGAGAAGTGAAGGGCTGTGTCGAAGAGGTAGAAACGGCAGGGCATGTCAAAGGAGTGAATGTGGGGAATGAAAGAAGGAGAGGAATGAAGGAGGACTCCTGGGCTTTTTGGCGTGAGCAAGTGTGTGACCGAAGTTGTTGCCTACTAAGATTGGGAAGACTGGGGAAGGCCTGGGTTTGGTGGGGAGAAAATGAAGCTCAGATTTGGACCTGATTGTTGAGATGTGCAGTAGACTTCCAGCCGGCAGTGTTGAGTAGACAGTATTACATGTGGAACTCAAAGAAGAGTGTCAGGCCCTCCTTCCAGTAACGCCTTCAACAAAAGAGAGAAGAGAAGTCTTATTTTGGACGTTTTGAAGACTCAAAATCTAACTTATAAGTATTATTTTATGTTAGAATTGTTCTCTAAGTTACAACTTGAATGAGAATATTGTGTGGTGGAAGGTAATTAACCTGTCTGCTTTTAATTTGAAAGGGTACGAGTGATCTACAAGTATGCACTGGATAGAATTTCAAAACAAGAGCCCAAGAACTCTTTAAAAATTATACCATCTTTGAGAAGTTTGGTGACAGGCGGGGCATCGAGGACATCATCGTGAGCAAATGGAGATTTCAGTATGAGGAAGAAGTAAAAGTGAGTGCTGTTGTAGACGGGTAACTCTGCAGATGACTAGGCTGTACTGATGAACGCTAGCTACAGTGAAATGACTGATAGCAGGACTGCTCTTTTGATGATGCAACTATGGTGAACTGGCAGCTATTTCAGACAAGCAGGCTGATGGAAAAGGCAAGCAAACACTCGGATTTGCTTTGCCCGCACATGTTGAAAGCCATTCTGTTGATTGCTGACTGTATGTAGAACTTGAGCAAAAGAAATGTGGAATCTCTTTGAGCTCCTTTTTGAAAGGAGATGGTTTGTATGTCACCTTTTAGCTTAACTGCCTGAACAAAAGATATGTGGTAGATATGGTTCCATTTTCGTCTCTTTATGTGTAATGTACTGTTTTTTTTGTTTGTTTGTTTGTTTTTCCTTTTTGTCTTTTTTCGCGCCCGGCAACGGATCACAACCCTCAGTGTCGCGCCCGCACCGGACCGGGACCGGCAACGGGACCGGCAATGGGACTCGCGCCCGGCAACGGATCACAACCCTCAGTGTCGCGCCCGCACCGGACCGGGACCGGCAACAGGACCAGCAATGGGACCGCAACCCTCGGTGTTGCGCCCGCACCCCGCTCATCCAGTGAGCGGGAACTGGTCTGTATGTGGGATCCAAACCCTCGCCGGGAGCACCGCCGCGCTCTCAAGTGGCGCACTGTAGCAGTGCGCCACCGGGCCGGCCCAGTAATGTACTGTTTTGATTACAGTTCAGAGATAACATTATCCTTCACTTATTCCACTGTGTATTTAAAAATGCTTAGTCAGATTGATTAAGGTATCTCCAAGCAAAGCACTAAGTCTGGTGTTAAATGTGGTAGGTCAGTAAGATATGATCAAAATAAATTACTATTAGTTGAAAAGGCAGATTTCACAATTGTGAGCATGACATATTCTGCTGTGATTTTATTGTAGACATAATGTTATATAGTCACATATATAAACAAATACTTTTATAAAGATAGGCATCTAATTATTGAGTAATTATCTTGGGCGTAATGGCTATAGATGAAAGCAGCCTTACTGTGGGCCACCTGGCCAATAACCTGTGCTCTATATATCTTTTTCTTTTCTATGTAATAATCTCAGGAATAGTATTTTTAAAATGAGATAACATGTAAAATCTAGAAAAAAAAGTTGCTAAGATGTAGAAAGTCAATCCGGTGCCTCCTTTCAGCTCACATAGCTTAGCAAGTGTGCTTTTGTTTTTATTTATTAAGCTGGCTGTCTTTCTAGGCTAATTCACACAATTATGATGCATGGTTTGATTACTTGGCACTTGGTGGAAAGCGATGCAGAAGCTGAAACTGCGAGAAGTCTATGAAAGAGCCATTGCCAACGTCCCACCCATTCAGGAAAAAAGGCACTGGAAGTGCTACATATACCTTTGGGTCAACTATGCTCTCTATGAAGAGTTAGAGGCAAAGGTAAAGAATCGAGTGTGGAGTCAGCTGTTCAAGGTTTCCTGTACTCACAGCTCACCTGTTGTGGGTGGTAACTGATATTTACAATCCCTGAAACAAAAATAATTCTTTAAAAATTCTTACACATCTCTGTCAGCTATGTAGTTACATATTCTGTTGCAACATTTTAAACTCTATGCCTGTTGTGCGGACAGGAGAGGTGGTTTTTTTGTATGTTTTGTTTTTTAAACCTTGAGGCACAGCAAGATATCACTTGGAACTTGAAAGGGAACAACAAACCAGCCCTTAGTTTAATTATAAATACTTTCCAGGGTTTTCTTATAAATATGGATCATGGGTAGATTGTACATTTTTGCCTTTAGTAAAAACCAAGTGGCATTTTCAGAAATTGGTTCCTGTTAGCAGGAAAAGAATAACTTTCTTCTGTTGATCTAAGACTATAAAATATCTTTGTTTCTTTCTGCCATCAGGCAAAAAGCCTTTCTACAAAGAAGCACTCAGAGTTTGATTGTAGATGATTCTTAAACCAAAGTTTGATGGCCAAAGATAGTTTATGCTTTTGATCATAAATGGAATCAGGGTTTGAAATAATCAACTTGTGAAAACATATTCAGTGTTGGAGGTATACAATTTTACTGGTATTAGGTAAAATTAGTAACTGTTAAAATTAGTGTTAGCAACAGACTTCAATATTTTGTGAAAATTTGTTATCCTAATGCAGGATCCTGAGAGGACAAGACAGGCATACCAAGCCTCTTTGGAACTAATTCCTCACAAAAAGTTACGTTTGCTCTAAAGTATTCAGTTCCAAACAGGTCCAAATCCTCTTCTGTTACTTGTAAAATAATATTGATTGAATATTGCCCTGTGCTAGGCACCATGGCAAACATTAGTAAGAATGAGATAATGCTCCTTGCTTCTGAAAACAGTCTAGTTCAGAGGACAGCCTGCATTGAGTGACTAATGGATACTACAGATAGTAATGTAGAACTCAGAGTGAGTGGAAGGAAGAAGACATACATGCAGACAGCACACACACATGTGGGAGGCACATAAGCGGGTTTGTTGGTAACTGACTGAATGCACACATGCACGGATGAACACGTGCCCTTTCTGAAGATGGTTTAGATGTTCTCTCTGCAATATTTCCCAGCACGAGAAACCAAGTATGTTTCCTTCTGTAGAGATGTTGACTGAGTTACCCTGTAGAACAGAGATAGGATTTTCTGCACGCTTACAAGCACGCCCACAAAACAAAGCTTGTTCTAAGTAGAAACTACAGTGTCATGAAGTACAATAAAGTATGTAGGTCGTGGTATGTTTGTTTTTGACTTTTGTGAAATAAATATAATCATCTTTGCTTGTAAACAAGCATAATGCCTCCCTCCTAACTGTAAAGTTTCAGGAAAGTCTAATTGCCAGTGGCTTTTAATTTCAATTTACTATAATTCAATTTAATTTAAATGAGTGTCTTAAGCTAGATATTTTTGTGCTTTCGTTTTCTAGTTCACATTTGCCAAAATGTGGATATTATATGCATGATTTGAAATAAGACAGAAATTGATTCATTCACCTTTAGCTCCCTCCAATAAGTGAAAACATGTGGTATTTCTTTTTC